TTTGGCTTTGCTCAAGGACTAGCAAAGGGTAAGTGTGGAGGAACTTGTTGACAGTGGTTAATGTCAATCATAAACCATCAATATAACCTGCATATATGCTCAATTCCCTCACCAAACATAGGTCTAGGGGTTTAAACTAATAAATTCCACAAGTTTTGGTGAATCTGTGTTTGCAGGAGGGTTTATCCAGAAAACCATCAAGGTAGAACTAAACGTCAGATTTAATCGCAATTATCCACGATGAAAACAACACCAGAAGGTTCTAGAAGACTCTAGAAGGCAAACCACCGAAGCGGAGGCCGAGGGGCTACCAGGTGGGGCTGGCCGGCCTGTGGGCCCCTTGGTCAATCTCCCCTTCGAATGTCGCTTCTCCACCGCCTCCTAAATTACATCTACACCATCCTTTTAAGTTGGTTCATCCAACGGTGATCGAGGGAGTTGACGCGGATCGATGATGTGGCGATTCCTTGCCCCTACTCCACCTCGATTCCTTGTCCCCTACTCCACCTCAGCCTATATATAGCAGCCCCTACCCCCTCCCTAGAGCCATCTTGGAAACCCTAATTCATATCTCTCATTCAGATCAACACACACCATGAGGATTAGATCTAGGGCTCTCCAATGTAGTAGATTAGTAGCTCGGGAGTGAGGGTCGACTTGGGCTCATGCTCAAGTTTTGGATCTAGTCTTGGAGGCTCAGCAAAGCCTTATATCTTCACTTCTACATCTTGTAAGACTTATTATCAATTTATTATATTTCTATCTACATGGCTATGCTTACTTTTAATATGTATCTTACTTAGTTGAGGTTATCATTACTTTTGTGTGCGGGTTCATAGAGCACTTAGCCTGCTAGTTTATCGATTGGGCTAAGTAGTCGAGCCTCATGTAAGCATGGTCCTTATATGATGCTCTACCTGTGAGTACACCCTGTTCTCTGGTTGTGTGGTAGCAGCGGGTGGTGACAGTCCCGTCTATCCTTGGTAGCAGTGGATGGTGACAGTCCCGTCACCCCTGCTTTAGCTATGCTGGTATGTTGATTGGTAGACATTCCTCTATTACTCAGTAAGTCTTTACTCCATTGTTTCCCTATGGTAAAATATAAATAATGATACCTGGAATACTTCCGGTAAAATGCTACAATGGTATTCTATGCGCTTGCGGAATCCTTTATATTCAATTTGCGTTAACAAATACCAACACTCTCCATATCCTAGCACCTTAGATTGCTCAATTAGGATCTTTTGTAAGGTGCTTGAGAACTTAGATTGAGGGGTGAAGTATTGGCTAGGCCGATTAGTTTAATTCAGCATTTGTTTCGGTTAGTTGGTATGATCTAGTTTTCAAAAAGGACTATTCACGTGCTCTAGTTTGCCATCATGACCTATCAACTGCGGCTAGCAACGACCCATGGATTCCATGATGGCAGGAGTCGCGCCATTGTTGGGCCATCCTCGTCATGCCATTCTGTCGAGCCTTGCTGCCTGGACTGCCATGGCATCTCCGTCTTTCACCACAGCACCATGAGCCACATGGCCATGACACTACCGAGCACCACCCTCATCACACCAAGCCACACGGTGGGCTAGCATGTGGGTACGGCGTGCCAGGTTGGCGTGAGCAGCGACAATGCGGCGGGCTGGCATAGCAACTCGCGGACCGCGGCGAGGACGCCACTGATTTCATTGTGCTATTGCAGGAGGTAAACCACAATGGCTACATGCCTAGGGCGGTGGAGAAGGGGCAGCAGGTCCAAGGACCACATTGTGCTCGCCGTGGCGGTCATCGTGTAGGTGGGGAAGGAGTGCTAGAGGTAGAAGATGACCATAGAGGGTGGTTTTTATAAAATTTTGTCCTAGTCAACGTCCTCTAAAGGGGTATGGACCTCCAGTGCACAACTTAAGAAGTTTAAGGAGACAAATTTTGATTTTGAGAGTTTGTGGACCTAAGTCGCACATGGCTATGAGTTTAAGGGCCACCAGTATATTTAACTCTTTTTCCTTTATGGAAAAAAGCTTGGCTGTGTTCGGTTGTGGCCGCAACTACTACTGCTACAGTAACATGTGAGGGGAGAAAAAGCCACAGCCATAGTTGTTGGCTAGCTGCTTCAACAACTTCTCCTCTCACATGTTACTATACTAGCAGCGGCTGTAGCTGTAGCCAAACACATCCTTGTTTCCGAGCAAGCACGATTTGGAGAACAACACGCACACAGAAAAAAGACAAAAGAATAGAGAAGAGCTCACCTGCTGTCACCGCCAGAAATGAAAGAGGTCACCATTGTCGCTACCGCTGTTATGATTTCGAGGTTAGGTTGCAAGGTTTTTGGATGGGGTTCCATCTTCCAAGGCTGCGGGCTTAGGGGGAGGGGGAGCTTTCAGGGAGGCCATCGGACCGGCGGTGGTGATGAACGAGATGACAACAGAGGACAGGTGCTTACATAGAATGGGTAATGAACTTAATCATGACTTCTAAAGTTTGACTATAAGGACATATTATTAGTAAGCTTTCGCAAAAGATAAAAGAGCCAGCATACAAAAAGCCCTCTGCATATCCTTTAAGAGTCGGGAGACTACTTCCACCCTAGTTGTGTAAGTCTTGTTGAGTACACTTTAGTACTCAGGATTTTATTCTCCCTTTGCAGGTTACAGGATTTTATTCTCACTTTAGTACTCAGGATTTTATTCTCCCTCTGCATATTGATCCCACATGTCAAAGATGAAGAATAGTCCCCTCCTGTTTTATAAAAAATGAAGAATAGAAAGGAAAGGTGGACCCCACATGTTGGGTCCATGTCTAACGCATAGTCAACGGGCCACGTCAGTGTATAGAGTGGGTTAGGCCCAATTAAATTTAGGGTCCAGAATGAAACCACTGACCAAGTTTAGGGACTGACGGTGATCATCTTGTAAGTTCATGGACTAGGATGACACTATTGGCTAAGTCTAGAGACACAAATATCAGTTTGAAAATTTAGGGAGCGGAATGACACCATCGGCCAAGTTCAGGGACCGATGATGAATTCACTCTACGGTCTAACCATGCGTGATGGGTACCATTGCTTCACTAGTGGCAAAGTCAGGAATTAGATCCAGCTAAAGAAGCCAGCTAGTCGTGTTGATACAACTAGTAGAGTGTGAGCAGCTCTCCTAAAGATGTCTCCGCCACCGGTAGCCGGCCCAAGAAGGCGAGGCCCAGAAGACCCAACCCTCGGTACACTGGAGAAGAATGGGCCAAGTGAGTGGTGCTTGCATGCGCGTGCCGGGGCGCTCTGCCTCTATATTCTTAAGGAGAGGAGAGAGTATGAGACAGGCATCGAATTGTAAACCTGAATCCGTTGTTCTAAACTAAGCACTCGTCCTTCATCACCTGTTCTTCTTCCTCCTCCCGCCGTGCTCTCCAATCCTCTCCCGATTCCTCCCAATCCCTCTACTATCCCTCACATAGGGTTAACTCAATGCTGATCCATCTTCTCACGCACAGGAGACAATTGTGTGTCATGTGATACATCATATACACATATGCATAGTTCCATCAACTGGAACCAGTGAACCTGGCAACCCCGGATGAGCCAAGGTTGACTGACTTCTTAGCTTGCTCATGACGTTGAACAACCTAAGAAGCTGCCATGGACGCTGGTAGCAACGCGACACAAGAACAATCCTCGTGCTATTGTTCAGTCAGTCAAGCTTGGCTCCATCCTGCTTGGTAGGTAAGTAGTCAGTCAACCTTGGCTCCATCCGGGGTTGGCGCCAGGTTCACTGGTTCCAGCAGCTATAATTAGCGCACGACGAATCAGTTCAAGCAACAGTAAAGAATGATAATCTAAGGCTCCAGACGCTTCCTTAAGCACGAAAGCTCCTTAGACAAATAAAATAAGGATGAATGAACAAATCAGAAGGCTTCCTTCACACTATAAAGCGAGACGCCGAGCGCATTCATGAGCCATCGGACCAAAGACCACCAGCACCCTCACCACGAACTCACCCACTGAAGACTCCACTCCACCACCGCTCCACCATCTCTTCACTCACATATACACCACGAAGACTACGATCTCAGGAGTTATCGGAGTTCGTCCACCTTTAGTACTAATATTCCACTTACTTAGTAGCCACTCCACCGTTGTAAATTAGAGAATAAAGAAAGTCCTCGTGATCTTCCTGCGCTGGTAAGGTAATCCCTAAGGTTTATGCTAAGTGCTTGGGGTTTCGCGAAAGGGAAAGTCATATGTAAGCTTGCTCTGTGGAAATGAATTAAGCTTTTCTGTTTTAATCCATGCCTTCCTTTAACCTCGTTCATATGGGGTGATGTCTCTATGCCAGGGACCCTAGAGGAGAAACATCTGCGTGTGTTGTTCTCGTGTTAGCCCTGGTAGCGGCGTTTGTAGAGAACCATGTGTGCACAGAGAAGTGTTCCCTTCGGGTGGAACTGTCTAGGGAGACGATAGTGCCTGAGTCATGTGTGTGCGTGGCTGGGAATAGCGAGGGAGAAGACCGGATTAGCCTGATTCTGAAGCGAGCTAGTGATGCATACGGTGAGTACCAAGTACGACTGACACAAGCATAGTCGCACGACCGGCTGAAACATTGGTCTCGCTAGCCTGCAAAAGATTCTGAGAAATATTAATCCGCATATTCACTAATCGCACGCATAACTAATCACTCACGCATCCTACATCCATAAAGCAAAACAAGTGCTTTAAATAGTTATGCCGTATAGTGCTTGAATAGTGAAGGGGTTGAGTGCCTAAGCCACTCCCGATGAATTTGAATAGTAACGAATATTTTAAATAGTGTCATGAATTTGAATAGTGAACACCGAATTTAAATAATGCTGTAAATAGTAACTCGTAAAATTTAAATTTGAATTCTAAATCCGAGTCAGTTTCCCAGCGTTTGCCGGTAGCAGCAAATCTGTTCCTACGCCAAAGATTTAATTAGCCACTTGCCCAGGGGGACGGTCTGACGACACGGAGTGGAGCATCCGCGGCGCAGAGGATGACAGGCTGGTCGCCGGCGTTCCTTCTCCTCACGCTGACGCTGATCCTCTTAGCGACGGAGGTGTCTACCATAGCGTTCGCAAAGCGTCCGGTACGTGTCTCAAGATGGTCGTCCTCTTGCACTATGTATCATCCTCTTTACCAACCTTGCCCCCCTCCTCTCCATTGAAATTAAGAGGAGGTTTTATTAGTTCACTAGCACTTAGTACGTCGGAATAAGCCAATAATTCTCAGAAATGCAAACATCGAGAGGTAGACATACGTGGTTGTTGTTTGCCAGTTATTATCTCTCCCTCTCTCTATATATGTGTGCTGTCGAGGGAATTATGAACCCCAAAAGAGGAATCATTTTCATTGGGGAAAATGTAGTTTGATCTTCCTGTAATGTATTTGATCGTGTTTTGGTATTTCAGTACTATGGATCATGTAATGTATTGGAAATTTGTAATTAAAATTGAAGTGCCAATCATTAAAGTAATACAAAAAATCTTGTCTATTGTCCATCCTGAACCCATACTGCAAACATATGAAAACGAATAATGTTGAAGAGTTCACGGTTTTGTTATGGCAAGCAGAATATATGATGTAGTCCAGAAACGCAAAAATTGATAAAAGAGAGATGTTGCGCACAAAATTCTTTCCGTACGTTTTCATGGCAAACATGACTAAAAATTACCCAAGAATAAAACAAGTCATATAACAATGCCCTGCCCTTATGTAGCCTTCCTTGGTCGATTACTTAGCCCTTGTTTAGTTCGCGAAATTTGGATTTTGGGGCTATTGTAGCATTTTCGTTTTTATTTGGCAAATAGTGTTCAAACATGGACTAATTAGGCTCAAAACGTTCGTCTCGCAATTTCCCACCAAACTGTGCAATTAGTTTTTCTTTTCGTCTATATTTAATACTCCATGCACGGGCCGCAAACATTCGATGTGATAGGTACTGTAGCAACTTTTTAAAAATTGGGGTGAAACTAAACAAAGGCTTAGTTCTTTTAATACGGTTCAAAGCCTGTTTGTCCTGGTATCCTAAAGCCCTCCTATATAGTGCCCCTACCAAAATAATGTCCTTAACTCACCACACTACTGCAAAAGAAAACTTCTTTAGGGGTGGTTAAATTGGGTTTTCAGGGGCAGTTAGCTCAACCGCAGCTATTCCACCGATGGTAAAAATAAGTGATTTTCAGAGACGGTTTTAAGCGATTTTCAGAGGCAGTTTTAAAACCGCCTCTAAAAATCAATTTTTAGATGCGGTTGACTTAGAGACAGTTGACTTATTTTTTTAAAATCGTTGAGAGTCTAATAAAAATAAGAAAAAAAATCTAATGTAGCCCAGATTTATTGAAGCGGTTGACTTATTTTTTTAAAAATCATTTAGAGCCTAATAAAAATAAGAAAAAAAATTCAAGTGTAGCCCGGATTTATTTTTCACTTGTTTTGAATAAGTTCCGACACCCCCACAACCTCTCCATCGCGCGATCCCTCCCCTACAACCGTATCACACAGTCACTCGTGTCTAGTTTTACGATGTTGTCTATCAGTATTAATATGTACGAATCTTGTAATCAATATTTTCACTCATAAACAATATTAAATGAGAAAACCTTTAACTACAAAGTTTTAGATCTCATCAAGCACTACAACTTTGATATAGAATATTTCTCCATCCAAAGTCATTTGAAAAATTCAAAAATTTGAAATTCATAATCTGAGACTTAATTTATATATTTAGAACCCTAAATGATCTCAAACAAAAATTTTATCAACTATAAAGTTTTAGATATCGTGAAGCTCTACAATTTTCATATAAATTTTGTCTTCATCCGACTTCAGTTAAAAAAGGTATGAATTTATTTGTGTTGCAGCTATTTTTAAGGACGGTTGACTTAGTCAACCGCCTCTGAAAATCGATTTTTAGTTGCGGTTGTCTTAAAAGAACTGCCTCTGCAAATCACTTATTTTTAGAGACGGTTGACATAAGCAACCGTTCTTAAAAATAGCATTTCCAGAGGCGGTTCTCTTAATGGAACCTGTCGAGGACCAATATTATGGTACCCGAAGAGGAGCTAATGACTATCAACATTGATTCGTTCGCGCAATTAAAGTGTGGGCTGATCCTCAGGAATCCCTCACACAAGGCGACGAACGCCGCCATGTGTTGGATCCTATTGGGGTTGAGGTGTTGCAGCTCTATCTCGTAATAGTGCAGCAGTCCTCGAAGGAAAAATCTAGGGGCATATACATCTCTTACACATTTTATCTATAATCTACTGTATATCTATAACTCTAATAAGCCAATCCCCACTCTATCTCTTCGTTACAATCCTTTTATACCAGCTATCCAAGTGATCCCTTTTTAATTACAAAAATTATCCACATCGTCTTAATTATGTGCAATATTTTTTATATTTAATCTATCAACACACAAGTCATCTATATATGCTATCTATTACATCATCCTATCCTTATGTGATATAATATTCTATTAGTTTTTCCATTAGTTTCCTGAGTTTTACTAGATCTGATATAGTAAACTAACATGCAAACCAATCTCATATATATAATATATATATGCACACAATTGCTAGGGTACCATATGATAATGATATAATAAATAAAGCTAATTGCCATTAGATGTTCTATCTCTTCATATAAGGTGTCTATATCATCCCCCACTAAGTGTCCATTAACTTGCAATCCTTTCATATTATGTATCCATGTCATCCCTTATTAATTATAAACATTATCCAAATTATCTCAATTTTGTGCAATACTTTTAATCTTAATCTATCAGTGTACAAGTCATATATATATGCTGTTTAATTTGTTTCATCATTCTATCTTTCCAAAATGTGATCTAATATTCTATTGGCTTTTCTTCCATTAGCTTGATCTGATGCAATAAAATAACATGCAAACCAAATTCATATACATACACACACAATAATCATGACACCATACAGTAATGCTATATATATAACAAATTTATTTTTAAGAAAGCCCCATGGCAACACGCAGCATATTTTTCTAGTATCTTATAAAAACAAATTCCACTAGCTTTCAATTTCAATAAGCAAACTATCCACGTAATCCCCATAAAATGCCTCATTATCCCTCTACTAATTTTTAATGGCAACATACAACCCATCTACATTATCAGCTACTAAATATATACCACATCCTCCATCGACTTTCAATCATTATCCCTGTACAAGTTTTTTAATGTCAACATCCAACTCATCCACATTATCAGCCACTAAATATATACCACATCATCCATCCACAAACTTTCAATCTCTTCATGCAAACTATCGGCGTCATCCTTCACTAAGTGCAAATTGCTATTTTCAATCTACCAAAAAATAAAAGGCAACCACATCATGATATTCTTTTTGCAGTTCCTTCATCTTACAATTCAATCTAATATTCTATTAGTTTTTCTATTGGATTCTTTCGTAAGCATGTCCAATCTCGACCATTTTCTAGTTAGATACTAAATTCATTCTCAGTTACATGGACAACTATGGATGGACATGACTCATGACTTGGTTACTTGACAATTTGCATTGCTACATGTGTGAAATATAGTGTAGGTAAATAACTCTACGTAAACAAAGCAATGTTCCTCCATCAGTGATCTGCGTCACCTCCGACCATTTTTAACCATGCTGCTTATTCTCCTACAGATCCACACTATATACACACTTGCCGTGTCGACAAGCACCAACTCGTTGTCCACACCACCGGTTCCCTGTCTGCTAGAGCAGGCTTCCTCGCTCCTCCGTCTGAAGAAATCCTTCAACACAACTGGCGGCGATTGGACCACCTTTCAGTCATGGGTCGCCAGCACAGATTGCTGCAGCTGGGATGGCGTCCGCTGTGGCAGGGCAGACGGCCATGTAACCTCCCTCGACTTGGGTGGCCGTCAGCTGCAAGCCAGCGGTCTCGATCCGGCACTATTCAGCCTAAGCTCACTCAATCATCTCGACCTCTCCGGCAACAACTTCAGCATGGCCCATCTCCCTCCCACTGGCTTTGAGCAGCTCATCGAGCTAAGCTACCTCGACCTCTCTGATACCAACTTGGCTGGTTCTGTGCCACCTGGCATCGGTCGCCTCAAGAACCTGGTTTATCTTGATCTCTCCACAAGCTTCTATATTGTTGATTTTGACAATGAAAACAGTGTCATGTACTACGACTCAGATTCCATTTGGCAGCTTTCAGCGCCAAACTTGGACAATTTGCTTGCTGAGCTCACAAACCTGGAGGAGCTCCATTTGGGCATGGTGAATCTGTCCGGCAACGGACCACACTGGTGCAACCATTTGGCCAGATTCACTCCTAACCTTCAGGTTCTTAGCTTACCTTACTGTTCGCTGTCAGGTTCCATATGTAAGTCAATCTCGGCCTTGCAGTCTCTGAGAGTTATCGAACTTCATTATAATCACTTGTCTGGTTCAGTGCCAGAGTTCTTGGCTGGCTTCTCCAACCTAACAATTCTTCAGCTTTCAACAAATAAGTTTGAAGGATGGTTCCCTCCCATCATCTTCCAACACAAGAAGTTACAAACAGTTGACCTCTCTGCAAATCTTGAGATCCGTGGTGTTCTGCCAACTTTCACGCAGGGCAGCAGCTTGCAGAATCTGTTTGTCGACAACACAAACTTCTCTGGGACAATACCAAGTTCCATAAGAAATCTCAAGTCTCTAAAGATGCTGGGCCTTGGTGCACGTGGCTTTTCTGGAGTATTGCCCTCTTCGATAGGTGAGCTTAAATCCTTGGAGTTGCTTGAGGTGTCTGGGTTACATTTAGTGGGATCCATGCCGCCGTGGATCTCAAACTTTACTGCTCTATCTGTTCTCCAGTTCTCTCACTGTGGATTATCAGGACAAGTACCTTCTTGGATCGGAAACCTAAGGGAATTGACAAAATTAGCATTGTACAGTTGCAACTTTTATGGGAAGATACCTCCACAGATCTCAAATTTGACCAGATTACAAACCCTCCTGCTGCAGTCAAATACTTTTCTAGGCACAGTGCAACTATCTGCGTTCTCAAAAATGCAAAATCTAACTGCCTTAGATCTCTCAAACAATGAACTGCATGTGGTAGAAGAAAATAGTTCTTTACCTGTGCCCTTTCCCAAACTCGAATTCTTACGTTTAGCATCTTGCAGAATGTCTAGCTTCCCCAGCATCTTGAGGCATCTAGAAGGCGTCATTGGTCTTGACCTCTCTGATAACCAAATCGATGGGGCAATACCCCAGTGGGCATGGGAGACATGGAATGGATCAAACATGATCCTCCTGAATGTATCACATAATATGTTTACAAGCATTGGCTCTGAAGAACCTTTGCTTCCAGTTCAAGTAGAATATTTCGACCTCAGTTTCAATAATTTCAAAGGGCCCCTACCTATAACACGAGGTGGCAGTGTCTCGCTTGACTACTCGAGCAATCTGTTCTCATCAATGCCTTTCGATTTATTTACTTACCTCAATGGCACACCCTTTTTCAAGGCCTCTAGAAATAGGCTCTCTAACAATATTCCACCATCAATTTGTGGTGCAGTTAGGAGTCTACAAGTCATTGATCTCTCTTATAACAACATAAGTGGTTCAATCCCATCTTGTTTAATGGAGGATGTCAGTGCATTGCAAGTATTAAGTCTAAGAGAAAATAAACTTGCTGGAGAGTTACCTAATAACATTAGCAAAGGCTGTGCACTTGAAGTGTTAGATTTAAGTGGCAACTGGATTGAAGGGAAAATACCCAGATCTCTAGTTGCTTGCAGGAATCTAGAGCTCCTTGACATCGGAAGCAATCAGATTAGTGACACCTTCCCTTGTTGGATGAGTTCACTTCCCAAATTTCAAGTTCTTGTCCTCAAATCCAACAAGTTCACTGGAAAGTTACTGGATCCATCATACAATACCGAAGAAGGAAACAAATGTGAATTTACAGAACTGCGAATTGCTGATATTGCCTCAAACAACTTCAGTGGCACTCTTCCAGTAGGATGGGTTATGATGCTAAAGTCTATGATGACCAGGTCTGACAACGAGACATTAGTCATGCAAAATCAATACTATCATGGGGAAACATACCAGTTCACAGCTTCAATAACATACAAAGGGAATTCTGTAACCATCACGAAGATATTGAGAACCCTTGTGCTGATTGATATCTCAGACAATGCATTCTGTGGTACTATCCCTGAGACCATTGGGGATCTTGTGCTCCTTCACGGGCTCAACATGTCTCACAATGCTCTTGGGGGTTCAATTCCAGCTCAATTTGGCAATCTGAAGAACCTTGAAACATTGGACCTCTCCTCAAATCAGTTATATGGGGAAATTCCACAGGAGCTAGCATCACTAAACTTCCTATCGACATTAAATCTGTCCTACAACATGTTGTCTGGACGGATACCACAGTCATCTCAGTTCTCCACATTTTCCAATAGCTCTTTTCTTGGGAACACTGGTTTGTGTGGACCTCCAATGTCCAATCAATGCATAAACCAAACCGAAACAAGCTTACCATATGCTTCAGAGAAAAATCCTGCAGATGTACTGCTTTTCATCTTCACTGCTTTGGGATTTGGCATCTGCTTTTCAATTACCATTATAGTGGTATGTGGAAGACAAAGATGGAAGCAATCTTGACTCTTGACACCTCTTATTGGTGTGCGTACACATTGCTCCAAAACTTTGTATGTGGAGATCACTCATATTTCCCTGCAATTCTGGAAATATGTCATCAAAATAGATGCGGAAGTAAACAATGAAAAAAGTTACAGTCATAGTGATATGGGGAAGCCACAGCCAAAACTGAAACCAGACCTTGAGTCTTGATAGAGCTGTTGTATTGAGTCCTATCCATAGTTTGTATGTGAAGATCAAACCTTCTATCTTACATATATGGAGTAGCCAAAAACAATTAAGCCTATGCTGTAATTTATGCTTTTTAGGCCTGTGTAATTTGAGCAATAAAATGGATTCTACCATATCCATAAGAATGTTTTATAATTCTAGCCTGTGCTGTTCTTTCTGTGATGTGTCAAGCTCTTATTTATAACCATGGAAAATCATAATTTTGGTGACAGGTTAGTTGGGGATGACCAAACAAACAGAGGATAGTAATTGAACAGCTTTCTACAGTATTAATTATTGAAATGCAAATAAATATTGACGACTGTTGGCTTGACATCGCGGCCTTGAACGACAATGACTTAGGAGCAGAATAAGCATATGAAAATATGATATCATTCATATCTCTAAAAAACAGACCATTGCAGCTAGGAAACTAGTAGCAAGTCCTATAAATGTGCAATCTATAAGACCAAGCTCAACGAATTATCAGTACGAACCATAAGCCCATGCAGCATATAGAAGAAATCTGGATACAGCTGATCAGTAACATCACTTGTTCCGAACTTTCATTAATATCGATTTACTCCTCATATCCATTGAAAACGCCAATAGCACTGCGAACTTATTATCATCAGAAAAGATCTTAGAAGCACCCAGCCTGTTCAGAGATCCCACTGTTCGAACCCAGCTCATGCCCACCCATGCCTTCACAGATTCAGTGTGCATCGTCTGAAGAGAAGGATAAAAGTACAAATCTGTGAAGAGCTCATGCCCACCCATGTCAAATATATACGTACTGTATAATGTTTGAAGAGCTCTTCATTCTCTTCCTTTTATCCCTAGCATCGTCTTAATTTGTGCATGAGCACGCATCAGAAGGCTCATCCGCCATGTAAAGGCTGCAAAAGAAGTAATAACCTAAGTAAAATACATGCTCGATACCAGAGTCATCTCATTAATACATGCTCGATCACAGAGCTTCGTACCATCTCTATCCCGCTGAACTCCGAAGGGACCAAGGAGAGCAGGCCACCTGCGGCGGGGCGGGGGCGGGGGCGGCGGCGATGTGGCGGGGGGGAATGGGGGCAGAGGAGCAGCGCGAGCCGCGAATGCGCTACGGCAACCTAGCGGAGCGCATGTAGGCCCAACTGCCAAGTCGACATGGGCCGATTGGGCCTACGTCCATATGCTTGAATGGGAGCCAATTATCAAATAGGATTGGTCCTCTATGCGGCTACCACTGGACTGTTGTTTAAGTTATTATTACTCCCTCACTTTCAAAGTATAAGATATTTTTGGCTTTTCTATATTCATAACTTTTGCTACGCACCTAGATACATGTTATGCCTAGATATATAGTAAAAACTATAAATTTAGAAATTCTAAAATGTCTTATAATTTAGGACGGGGAAAGTACAAAACAGAAACACCGGCGTGGATGGAATCACATTCCGGTATTTGATATCAATGGCAGCAAGTACGAATTTGTAGATGAAATTAATGGATGTGGTGACCCCATATTTATATGGGTCATTAGATGCTAAAATTTATATGAAAGTCCCAAAAGGAATTACTGTCCCTAAACCATAAGAATGTAACATGTATAGTGTAAAATTGCAACGATCACTTATGGCTTAGAACAATTTGGAAGAATGTGGTATAATCGTTTTAGCGATTTTCTAGAAAAGAAGGGACTCCTAAAGAATGAAGCCCCTGTCTATACGAAAATCCGAGAAAGGATTTTATATAGTATAGATGACCTAAATGTCATTGGAACTACAAAAGATGTCAAAGAAGCTAGTTCTTACCTAAAATCTGAATTTGAAATGAAAGATTTGGACAAAACTAAATTTTGCTAGGGCTTGCAGCTTGAGCATACCCACAAAGGGATTTTAGTGCACCAGTCTGCATATACCAAGAAGGTATTAGAAAAGTTCCATCATGAAAATGCACATCCTAAACATACACCCATGATGGGGAGATCACTCGATGTAGAAAAACATCCTTTTAGACCCAGAGAACAAGTGGAAGAATTTTTAGGATTTGGGTATTCCTACATAAGTGCCATTAGTGCGTTAATGTACCTTGCAAATGGTATAAGACAAGATATTGCATTTGCTGTTAACCTGCTAGCAAGGTTCAATTCAGCCGCAACCAAAAGACATTAGAGTGGTGTAAAAAGAATTACATTCGAGGTACTATCGATCTTGGATTATATTTTCGAAAGAAACAAGATCTTAGCATAATTGGGTATACGGATGCAGGATATTTATCTGATCCCCGTAATGGATTATCTGAAAGGTCCTTGTGTAGTTTTGGTAATTTAGTGACAACCTAGGTGGACTAATTGTGTTTATATGAGATACACAGGTGATTAGCCCACAGGTACATGTGTGTGAGAAACATATGCCATGGAGGTGGAAATGGCTCGGAGATGTTGCAAAGCTCACACATGTGATGATGAAGGAGCTCATTGCACATGAGACATGACATTGAGTCATGTGATCAAGGTGGAGAAGATCAAGACAAGACTTGGCTTGATGGACCGGTTGCAAGCGTGAAGGGCAAATCGGAGGCTTTGGAGCGATGGACCGCGTGACGGTGAAGCTTGAGCAAGACTTGGCGCCGATGGATGAAGGCAATGGTAAAAAGCAAGTGAAGTCAAGATCAATGAACCAATATGATCACGTGATGATATGAAGTGGATCATATCATTGTTGATCGTGTTGGTGCATGTGTTGCATCGATATTGGAGGAGATGGAATGGAATGCGCAAGGCAAAGGTATAACCTAGGGCATTTCATTTCACCGGTCATAGGTGTGTAGAGAAGTTGATGACCGGGTTTAGGATAGATGGCTGTACTATCAAGAGGGGCAAACTTGTTTGCATATCGGTCATCTAGTGCCACTCGAGTGATCTAACTTTGCATCGTCGCTAGGATCGAGTGGCGTGGCAAATTGAGTGGTTAACTCCTCGAAAAATGTTTGTGAAAAGCTAATACACATACACATGGTGGTGTGCACTTGGTGGTGTTGGCACATTTGTAAAGGAGAAGAAGTTGGTGAAGAAAAGGAGTTGAATGCGCTGGTCACGGGGTGACCGGACGTGTCCGATATGCGGACCGAATGCGTCCGGTATCTTCCCAACATGACCGGACGCGTCCGATATCTATACCGAACGCGTCCAGTAATCTGGCTAGGCGTGGGCAAAGTTGCCGAGGTGACCGGACTCTGACTCATAGCAGTGACCGAACAAACTCTGAGCAATCACTGTGCTATGTCCGGTCGTGGTGACGTGGAGCGCTGGTGTTGGTCCAGAGTGGACTGGACGTAGGGGCGCGTCCGGTCGGCCACACCATACGTGTCCGGTCAGAGTTGAGCAGCTCTGAGAGCTCTCTGGACTCGACCGGACGTTGGCCCTCCTACGTCCGGTCGACACACTGGACGTGTCCGATCTAACATGTCAGAGAGAGCCGTTGATGGCAATGGCTAGTTTGAATGGGGCACGTGGTAGTCAGGCTGTGACCGAACGCAGGCGACCGGATGCGTCCGGTCACCCACCAGACGCGTCCGGTGCACACGACCTGCGCGTTCGGTCGTCCCGAAAAATGCCCAATGATGTGTAATGGCTATTTTAGCCCGTGGGGCTATAAATAGAAGTGGTTGTCAGCCTTTGGCCTGTAGCTTAGCACACTAGAGCCTTGGTGGCTTATGTGGTGGTGCTTGGGAGCCCTCTAACATACTCTAGCTTGATAGTGTTCATCCGATTTAGTGAGTGAGCGATTCTAGTGTGATTGCATCGTAAGGTTGCATCGAGTGGCACTAGGTGGTCATCTTGCAAGCCGGTGGTGCTTGTTACTCTTAGAGGTTGCCACCTCCTAGATGGCTTGGTGGTGGTCTCCGTTGAAGCCCGCAAGAAGCTTGTGCGGTGCTCTGAAGAAAGAGCTTTGTGAAGGGCATTGTGCTCGTCCCGCGGGAGCTGCGAAGAGCAACTCTAGTAGAGTGAGACGCGAAGGACGACAAGTGGTCCGGCCAAGTCAAGTGTTAGAGCTTGTGGTAAGCACTCTATGTGGGAGAGTGTGACTTGTGGGTCACCACTAGCAAGAGGACCGGCGGTAACCTTAGAGCTTGTCTCAACGGGGATGTAGCGTGTTGGCAAGCACGTGAACCTCGGGAGAAAATCACCGTGTCAATATTGTTCTTCCCGTTGTTTGCAATCCCCTTACACAAGCTTGTAATTACTTTCATATACATTGTGCTTGTGTAGTTGCTCTTGCAATTTGTTAGCTTGTGTAGCTCACTAGTTACCTTCTTTCTTGTGTAGCATAGAAGTAGCTCCCTTGCATGGCTAATTTGGTTTGTGTAACCTTGTTAGTCACATTGCTTAGTTTGTGTAGCTAAGTATTTACGCTCTCTAATTTGGCATTAGTTGCCTTGTTGTTGATTAAAGCTCTAGTTTGGTTTTGGTGAATTGATGAAACCCTAAGTGCTAACCTAGCTTATCAAAGTGATCATGAGATAGGTAGCACATTCCAAGTGGTGAAGCAAATGAAGATCATGACATGATGATGGTGATGCCATGGTGATGATCAAGTCTTTGGACTTGAAAAGAAGAAAGAGAAAAACAAAATGCTCAAGGCAAATGTATAAATGGTAGGAGCCATTTTGTTTTGGTGATCAAGACATTTAGTGAGTGTGATAACATTTAGGATTGATAGCCGTACTATTAAGAGGAGTGAAACTCGTATTGAAATGCGGTTATCAAAGTGCCACTAGATGCTCTAACTCATTGC